GGATCAGCTGCACGGCGAGCAGGAAGGTGCCGATGAAATTCACGGCGAGGGTCCGCTCAGTACCATAGACGACACTGAATCTGAGGGTCTGCATCCCGGCATTGTTGATCACGACGTCCAGCCGTGGCAGCGTGTTGGCCCTATCGACGAAGTTCTTGATCGATGAGGGCGACTCGAGATCGACCTCCCATACTTCGATAATGGTATCACTGCACTTCAGGAGACCTTCGATCTCTGACTTTGCCTTTTTGCCTCGGGACTGACTGCGGCAACCGAAGATGACTTTGCTGACGCCTAGGCGAATGATGTGCTTCACTGTCTCCTTGCCTAAACCTCCATTGGCGCCGGTAACGATAACTGTTTTGCCGACAAAAGACGCCGTAGGCTTCGGGATCTTGAGAATGAATTGAGTATGAACGAAGTCGCCGAGGGTAGGCATGGTTGTCCGTCAGAGCTTGCGGCAAGGGCAAGTTGAGTTCCTTGCAGGTTGAGGACCTTCGTAGGTTGAGGTGCTTCGCCCATGGTTCCATCGAGGTTCATATATATGTCTTCCGGATTGATCATTGCATTCCTTCACCTTGCTGGCTATGCAATAAGCAGTTCCATCATGTCCACGGAGAAGATTTCGCGTGTTCGCTGACCTCGTGCAAAGACCACACACAATGAGACGACTACAAGATGTCGGCGTTTAAGTCCCCTAATCTCCGGCTTCGCCGCGGACTTACCTCTCAATCACAGCCTGCTGTCCTCTCTCAAACTCAAAGCTGTCCATCAGACAAACAACGCAACTAGCATTGACCAGCGCTTATTTACATGGAGCCTGTCAAGTCTCATCGACGCTCTCGCGTCCCTCTATCGTGTGACCCTTGTCGTGCGCGAAAGTGGGTACTACGCTAAGTCCGCGGTGGGAGGGTTTGTCGTCGAGGAAGGTCATTGCTGACGTCGACACAGACTAAAATGTAATCGGGAGCAACCTTGTCAAAACTGCACGGCACGTAGCGAGGACTCAGTTTGCAAGTTCCGCGGACCTAAGAATGGCGTCGTACCCGCGGCGGCCACGGGACCTACGGGGGCCGGCGGAGATGCGACTCGGAAACGGATCGACCACTTGGAGGATCTGGTCAAGAAACTGATTGCAGAACGCCAGAACGCGTCACCTGAATCAAGTAGCAACAGTAGTCACACCGTTCACACGCCTGGTCACCCCGCTGGTAATACATCCCTTCGGTCCCCTCCGAGGGCCAGGTCTCATGAACCAGACGGGGCAGGTGAAACAGTCATCGATGGCGTCCATTCAGTCTATCACGGCGGAGATGAGTGGTATACTGTGCTCCGAGAGGTTCGTCATGTCTTTCTATCGCTGTACTCTCCAATCATCGACTGTGTTCGTTGGACCTAGTGGCTGATCTTGCTGGAATCATAGATCAATGAACTCAAGAAAACCTATAGCCAGCACGACGATCCACACGACTACAACTTCCGTCCCACTTACTCACATACGGTCGATGGATCAGGCCTACTCTACAGCCAGGTAAAGCCAATTGAACGAATGGAGATCCTCTCAACTCTGCCGCCAAAGTCTGAAATCGATCGCTTGATCTCCCACTTCTTCGATCGTCAGTCGTTCCCCATCGCCGTGGCTCGTAGGTACCATCTGCATCGCCCAGACTATGCGCACACTGCTCACATTGTTGTCAGCTATCCTCCACCAGCCCACATTCATGCGAGAGGTATCGTCGAGCCTGATGCTTTGGAACCCATACTCTTATTCTTCACTAATCTCTCCTAGTATGATGAGCACTGGAAAGACCCGTCAAGAACACACATTATATGGTTGGGCCTGTTGTTCTCCATCCTAGGCATCACTATGCTTGCCTATCACCAACATGGCGAGCCGCCGGAGTACGAAGGCACGTCCGAGACGCTCTCCCAGCTCTACCGCCTCCGGACGGCACAGTGTCTGCAGAGTGGTGATATCTCTAAGTGCCTACCCTACACAGTCGAGACTATGCGTCTCAACGCAACTGCCGAGCTGAACCGTAAAGATGACATGCGGCGCGGACTGTGGATCATGACAGGCGTCCTCGTCCGCACCGCCATCAACATGGGGTACCACCGCGATCCCTCCCACTCGCCGGGTATCTCGGTCCTGCAAGCAGAATACCGCCGTCGCATCTGGCTTTCCGTCATCAGTATGGACGACATGTCCTCCTTTGTCGGCGGATTCCCCCGGATGATGATGGCCATCTACTCGGATACCCAGGAACCCCGAAACCTGCACGACTGGGAACTGACCGAGGAGACCACTGTTCTTCCCCCGTCAAGACCTTACACAGAGTCAACCTCTACAACCTATCTGCTTCTGAAAGGCCGTCTGTTCAAAGCACTCGGTCGCGTTGGCGACTTCAGCACGAGTCCGGGATTAGCCTCGTACGAAGCCGTCCTCGAGGTCGACCGTGCCCTCCACAGCGCATACGAAGACTTCCCTCCGCACATGAAACCGGATGTTGTCGGAGACAAGGGTAGACTCAACATGCAAGGCAGAGCTAATTTCGCCAAGGTCAGCCTCTTGGGAATGTACCATAGGGGCATGTGCACCCTGCACCGCCGCTTCCTCGCCAAAAGCAGAGGTGACAGCCGATACAAGCTCTCTCGGGATCGGTGCATATCGTCTGCGTTGGTGACGTTGGGCTTCCAGTACGGCCTGGAGACTTCCTGGTACAAACTCGCGCAGACGCGGCACATGCTCATCCTGGCTGGTATGGTGCTCATTCTGGAGCTGGAGCTGAGGCGTAAAGCCCCGGACAAGGATGACGCGCCGGACAGTGAGGTGCTGGTGCAGGCGCTGGAAGAGTCGTGCGCCGGCTGGGCGGAGGCGACGGAGACTTGTGACGAGGCGCTGAGGTTCCATCGTTACCTTGTGGGTATGCTCGCCGGGTTTCGTCCAAGGACTGGCGCGGACCCGGAGGCTGGATCTTCGCAGGCGATCTCTCCGCAGGTACCCTTCGATCTCTCGGGTATTCCTCTGCAATTTGAGGCGCCAAGTGGAGGGGCAAGCTTCGAGAACGATCTCTCAAACATGGACTTTGACTGGGTCAGTTCATCCCTTTCTGCATCCGAGGTGCTTATGACTGACAACGCACACAAGACTTCGTGGGATGCGTTTATTGAAGGATCGACCATAAGTCACGAAGGAGCACCCATGTATTAATGCCGACGAACATCAAAAGATTGAAAATAAGTCGTGCCACTCTGGAGATACCCCGGGCGTGGCGTGTGCGAGAAGCTGATGCAATTGGGTATCAATGGGTATCGAACGCTTTCCTCACGCCTTCTCTACAAGCAACGTGCCAATGATGCTCTTCGCCTTGTCCATCCAGCTACGTGCGAAAACTCCATTGATATGAGGCAATGGAAAATCCCACTCCCTAGGGACTCCTGGCCTGATCAAGCTCAATACCGCCAGCAGTACTCCCCGTGCTCTCGCCAGACTCCCCTATGGTACCGCCGAGATGATACCGCAACTGGTGCTCCTTGGTCCAAGGCAGGGGAGAGGTCGCAATAGTGTACACCGTCGAGATCGTGGTCAGAGTTCCGACGAGCAGCGGTATAAGTTGCCCCGTGCTAGCCACCGTCGTGCCAGGGATGCTGATATCGTTGATGGCCAGCGTCTTCTCCGTGAGGCCGATCAGCGTCAGCCCAAAGAACAGAATCCATCCGATGAGCCACGCATTCTTCGAGGACAGGATATAGTACTCCTGCTCTGTTATCGTCCCCATCATGATCTTCGTCCAGCTGGGGTGCCGCCTCCTCACAGGCGGCACGAAGACAGCCAGCAAGCTCCAACTCCAGAGAAACAAGACCACGCCCCCCACGCACGAGATGATCGACATGGCCTTCAAGAAAGCGGTGAACCGCGGGCTGTAAAAGTCAATCTCGGTGAATATGTACACCTTGGGGCTCGGACAGCTCGAGCTCCAGCCCTGGTCGAGCCGGGTCCAGTAAACCCAAGGCTGCAGCACGGCATATGTGCCGTCGACCATCATGCACAGCGCAAGAGTCAGCGGCTCGTCGTCGGTCATGACGAACGACAGCGAGGTAGGCACGAAGACGCCGATCTGCAGCAGGATGTACCACTCGAATGCGGCGAGGTTGCCAGTCAGCGTCGAGTCGCGGATCATCGCGACGAGGATGGCGGCGTTGACGGTGTAAACGCCCTTGCGGGCATTGTGCACGGCCGCCCAATTCTGGAAGCAGAGAGCCACAACGCCCGAGAAGTAGGCGAGGTAGAAGCCGATCCGGATACCGACGCCGTACAGATCCGCGTCGCCGATGATCTGGCACGTGTCTGTGTCATATTCGGTGAACTGTTGGGAGGATTTGACGAGGCTAAGGATGATGAGGAGCCATGGAAGGGCCTTTGGCATTGTTGTGCCTGTCCAGCGTGGGTAACTCAGACGCTCGTTGTACCTGTTTCTTTGTCTATCACAATGCGATTGTTCTCCATGTCGCGAGGACGGGAGGGTGGTAGCTTTTGTCTGTTGTATCTGCTATTTTTAACGAGTTACACATCCGTCTCGTGCTAGGCCGTTTTGGTAGGACCGGTACGAGCGAGCCAATCGCTAGCAACACTGCCCTGATGCAGAACAACCACCAAAGCCTGGCACTTGATTGTCAAAAACCCAAGAACCTACGGTTACAGGTCGGATCGACGGCATATTATCGCATTTTTTATGCTCCCTTTGCAGTTATAAGCCATTGCATCGGCAGTCTTTGCAGATACCGGGTCGCATTACCTGGGAAGCGGATGGAGCCAAGGCCCACTTTTTTGCTATGGAACCAGGCACAGCGCCCGCCTCACAAGTACTTCCGTTGAAGGACTGCAAAACAGAGCTGCATCGTGAGCCAAATAAAAACTCCGAAGTGAGCTCAAGTCGACCAAGATGATGTCCATTATCAAAATTGATCCAAGGATGATGCAAAAAGGCGCAAAAAATAACTGACCCTGACCCGATTTGAACGGATAACCTTTCGATGCCTCTGGAAGGGAATCCCTACCGCTGGAGTCGAACGCGCTACCGTTGCGCCACAAGGCCATTGCAGACTGATTGCTGCTTGTTGAAAGCGATCGCCGTGGAGCTCATTATAAAGGACAGTGATTGGACACTTGTAGACGGCAGAATTACAGCACTACCCCACTGCTTCAGCTCACATCATTCTCAGTTCAGTACCGTCCACATTTTTGAGGTAATCAGCCGTTCCAGTCATTGATGCACAAGCTGGTATAGTCGCAAGCCGCTCTGCCGACGTGTATAGGACAACGCAGTCCAAGTCCAGACAATGATGATGTCAGACTAAGAGACAATTACGGGGGAATTAGACGCTACATGCAACCGTAGCTTGTGCGAAGCCAAAACAGCAGAGCAAGTCCAGCTTGGGAGGTGGTGTGTCGTGCCGCAGAAGTCAGAATTAACAAGTTCGACCATGCTAATGGGGTCAAGCCTTGGTCAAAAAGGACATCCAAACAACTTCCGCTGTTTTTCACAACCGCCGTAATTGTTTTACCTCAGTGATAAGCAGATTTTTAACGGTGTGCATTGGCTGCAATTCTGCGTGTTCACAGGCGGGCATCACGATGGCGAAAGTGCTCTTCTCTACCATGAAACATTCACGTTGAACATTGACACGCGTATCTTCGTTCCTCGGTTACATCAAAGCCTCGATGGGCAACAATTTCCCATCCTTGGTCAGTCAGGAGTAGTCACCTGAGATTTGCGAACAATGAGTCGGACTATCTCGTCTATGCTGAGTCGATGGGTCAATGTGCTTGTATGGCATGCCCTGCAACGTCTGTTAATGAGCTGAAGCGAAGTCCCTAGGTCTCAGATATCCGCTACCCCTGAACTCTGGACTCTTAAGCCGGAGTACACGCTGGAAAGCTGCGCCTGACACCCGGAAAACGATTTCTCATGTCTTACCCCTGCCGAGTAGCTGGTTATACACAGGCGATCTTTTCGATACCGAGAGCCTGTGAGGGGTGTTTCGGTGAGTGTGCTCGAATCTGCACCATCCTAATCCATTTTAGGTAAACGAGTAGCTCATTTCTGACGCGGGCTTAGTCAGGAGCTTCGCATAACGTACCAGGAGGATTCACCTCCAGTGGGCGCTTCGTGTGCCCTATTCTGCCTGTAATAGTGGTATATGCAGCTCGAGGCAATTAGATGCTGGAACCGTTATGCTATGATCTCCTGAGGCTGATGTATGCGAGAACAGCCCGGATGTCGTCAACAACCCGAACCCGACAGCAAGGTAGCCACGCCGCGCTCATATACAAGATGTGAAGCTCACGAGCGAGTGAGCATTTACTCCAGTTTGTCGCAATTCGTCTGCATACAACATTGTCACCATCCGAGTTTGATTTCTGGCCCTGCAACCATGCCAGCTCAGCCGTCTGTAACCGTCCAACAGGTGCAGGCGTCCAACGCCCGCATCGACGCCGGATCCTACCCTCGGACCGCCGTTTTTGTCGGGGGGACGTCCGGGATTGGCGCCGCGGCGCTGAAGGAACTCACGCTGGCCGGCAAGGGCAAGCTGCCGGCGCGCATCTATGTCGTTGGCCGGCCGGAGTCGGCTGAGCGCGTTAACGAGTCTCTCAATCACCTTCGCGCCGAACATCCAAATGTGGACCTGGTCTGGACTGCCGGCGATATCTCACTGCTTGCCGACGTCGAGCGCATCTGTAACGAATTGAAAGAGAAAGAGACGTCCTTGGACCTGCTGTTCCTATCTGCCGGGTATGCCCCACTTGGTGGTCGAGAGGGTGAGTTCAGTCTCTATCAGAGTTCTCCGTACCATGCATGTACATGTAGCCCGATGTTCAGAGATGTCAGAACTAAAGATGTCTATAGAGACAAAGGAGGGCCTTATCATCAGCCAATCCCTGGGGTACTACTCCAGGATCTTATTCATCCAGCACCTCCTCCCTCTCCTCAAGGCGTCAACAACCCACGGGAGAGTGGTCGCAGTCCTAGGCGCCGGTATGGAAGGCACCTACATCGACGTCGACGATCTCAACCTCGAGAAGCCGGGCAACTTCGGTCGCTACAAGTGCTTGAACCACACCCTCACCATGCTTACCCTGGCCATGGAACAGCTTGCTGAAGACAACAAGGACGTGACCTTCATCCACGCCCATCCGGGCCTCGTCAATACGGGCAACCTCAACCGAGGTTGGCGCGGTCGGTGGATTCTCCAGGCCCTCGCTAATATCGTCCTCGCTCCTTTTTTCTTGCTCTTGGCCTTCAGCACCGAGGAGTCAGCGCAGCGAACACTCTACGTCATGACGAGCGCCAAGTACGGCGGCCATGGCGTTCCGCTGCAGGCACCTGTGCCACCCGGTCTGACTGTGCGAGGGGAAGAGACTGGCAGCCTCTTCCTAGTTGCCCAGCGCGGCGCTACTGTGGCGAATGAGAAGGTGTTGACCGCGCTGCGTAAGGAGACCAAGGGGCGGATCTGGGCGAAGACGACGGAGGTGCTTCAGCCTTACCTAGGATAGATATCAACCCCCATTTTGGAAGTATGGAATTGAAAATGCTCTATTTGATGGGAATCACACCCTGCTGCGCTACACTTGGAGAACATGATTGATTCAGTCTGAAATCAGCGCTACTTCCAAATGCACAATAACCTCCACACTGTCGAACAACGCCAATCTCCTCATCACGACGGCACACATTGGGAGTAGTACGGTGGCGATACAGCCTTGCAGGTCGCGCCGCTCTGTGCAACACATCATAGTCAGCATGGTTCCTTTTCAACTCTCCAAGAACAGATTTTGCAAGGCCAATTGGAAAGCACTCACCCCACAGCTGGTACAACCCGTGTACCCATTCCCACCACATTGCCCAAAAGCCTGGACGGCGCACCCAGCATCACCGCCAGGGGCGGCCGCGCCTCCACTCCCACCAGCCGCATCGGGACCCGTAGCAGCAGACGTCGGCAGCGCGGCCGCGATCGCGGTGCCCGTCGCCCCGGACCCGGCCTTACAGCTGCCCGCGCACCCCGTGCACGCCGAACCGGCGCTCTTCGTCGTACCGCCGGTATATACCGGTGGACCGGGGACGACATACGTGCTCAGCGCAGCATGGATGTTGACCAAGATGCCCGGGTCGCTCGCCTTGTACGCGCCGGGGAACTTGACGGTCGCCGGGGTCGCCGTGCCGGTCCCACTGACAGTCAGTTGGTAGCAGCTCATGTAGAGCTGCGCACCACCGCTCGATCCAGCGGTGTGCAGCGCGATGACCTCGGCACGGAGTAGATAATCGCCCGGCGCGATGTCCTCGGGTATCTTGACGTCCATCTTGCCGCAGCACGAGTTCAGGTCCTTGACGCCCCAGTAGTCGTTGTCGCCCGCCCCGCCGCCGTCCTTCTTGTTCCACCCGTCTTCGAAGATCTTGAACCACCCCGTGCTGCCGTCTGCCGTGGCCGCGTCGGCCACTTTGGACATGTACACCATCACCGGGCCGTAGTGTGCGCCGCCGATGGCTTCGCTGCCGCAGGAGCGATCGCCCGGTTGCTTTTTTTGTGGCGTCTAGTTAGCAACGAGAGCTGGGGAGGGGTGCTAGCACGAGAGGGGGTGGTTACCTGGTGCATCTCGACTGTGACTGTTGAACCGGCTTTGACGGGGCACTTCTTGCTGACGCCCCTGGAGCCGCCCACATTGCACCGGACGTCGTTGCCTCCCACGTTCGTCACCGGTGTGTTGGACTGGGGCATGCGGATGCATTGCGACCCGTGCTGCGGTGGTCAGCTTTTCGCTGTGTTGGAAAAGAAACGAGAGGTAGACTTATCATGTCAACGCTATCGACCCACAGCTGCTGGAAGAGGGCATGACCGGCGACCTCCTTTGCAGCTAGTGCTGCGAGGATGACAGAGACTGACTTCATGACAGGCGTGCACTTGTTGGATCTACAAGACTCGGACGGGGTTCACTGGCACAGATTCGGAAAGGGCAAGGGGGATACTAGTCGCGGCAAGTGAACGCCACCAGATCAACAGCCAGACGCAAAAGTGCAGCAGACATCCGGGAAACGGGAGATACCAAGCTTTCTCAATATATAACCTCCCACTTCAACCTCTTTCCAGGATACGGGCAGCGGCATGCAGCACACACTCGTCATAAGGTCCGTTGCAATCAATTTCGAGGGACATTTCGGGTTGGCTTTCTTGTGTTATGGGCAGGATATCTCGGCTCGCTCTTTCGCCTCCAACTCCATCGCGTAAAGTGCCAGTGTTCCGTGCAGCTCACGCTCCGCCCGCAGTATCCGCATGGAAGGCGAGAGAACAAAATCATCATGCCCAGTACCCCAGAATCTGGGGGAAGGGATAATAGATTGCACCAAAGGCATAACGCGCGAGTAATATGTGCGGCACACGGCCAGCGGTCAGACGGGCAAAGATGAAGTCGCGCTGGCCTAGGCAATTTATATCCTGCAATTTACCCGGCTCGACGGCTGGTCTTCCACCGGCTTTCGAGTGACGGCTTCGGCAAAAGTCATGCGAGCGCAAAATGGAGGGAGATGTGCCGAGTGGAGGGTTTTTTGATTGGGGAAGAGTTGCTGGCCGAGGGAGAAGGCAATGCCATATGCTTCTCGAACGTGCATGGGTTGGGTTAATTAACAGTGAGCAGGGCCGATTTCGAGAGACTGGGGACGAGGTCAAGTGACATCGAGATCGAGATGATTCTTGGAGTTAACTTGCTCATGCAATGGTATACTGTTCGCAGTATGCGGCGCCTGGGGGAGGAAATATTCTTGATCGTGATTGAGGTCGAGGCACGAAGTAGACCTCGAGAACTAAGGTAGCGCTTGCCTTCCACCTGGCACGTGCATAACGTCATGTATACCTAAGGTATCGAGGGGATACTGACGAGAACTGTGACATCTTAGGAAGGTCTAACATTTTGCCTACATTGGACGTCGAGAGACAAGTCGCCCATGTGTAGTACCAGAACTCATGATCTATCGCAGGAAAGTGGTCCAGCCTCGGAAGTACCCGAAGTACAAGAGCCGTCCCAGCCTGTTGCGCGCATTGGACA